TGTGTGTGTGTGTGTGTGTGTGTGTGTGTGTGTGTGTGTGTGTGTGTGTGTGTGTGTGTGTGTGTGTGTGTGTGTGTGTGTGTGTGTGTGTCTGTGTGTGTGTGTGTGTCTGTGTGTGTGTGTGTGTGTCTGTGCGGCGTGTTCTCCTCCGTGCCGTGGACGCAGCGAGAGCGTTTCGAAAGGCGTGTGGTTTGGAAATGTTGGTGGTGGTTGTTACAGCTGAAATGGCAGTGTAACAGCGTGGGCATTCGTCTGGGTTCTTCGATTCTTCTGTGGAATTCTTCTGTGGATAAAGAAATGACGAGATATGGGAGCTGTGTACAGAAATTCACGAGCTCGAGCTCAAGTTGAACGGACACTCTTCACCAAACCTTGTCGTGTGATGTTGCCTTTTAGCACCGCACCGCGAGAATTGTCGTGACAGTGAGTTGTCTGTAACAAGTAGTTGAGAGTCCTTAACCACTTTGAAACCGTTTTGTCGACTGAGCCGAGGTCAGACCTGGTCAGACGCACTAGGGACCAGTCACAACTGTGTGACGGTGTGCCACAGCCGCACTAAAAAGTATGCTAAGGACATGACATTATACACGTTTATGCGCTCTTCCATGCTCTTTGTCTATGTGTACATATGAAAGACGGTGTTGACAGCATCATCATGGGCTCTGTAAACATCGTAGCGGGTCAGCAGGGGGAAGAGGGGAGATTAAGACGTTGCGCAACGTAAAGCGGTGTGTGCATATATCAATACCGATTCCTGCCCTTACACGCGCGGCCAAGTTCAGCAGACATCCGGTTACTGTAATTGAGCCTTTCCTGGGGACCATTTGCATGGAGAAACGGTCGTTGATAAGTTCGACCGTTATCTAGAGCTATAAGGAAGGCCCGCGGGCTACTACCACCCTGCGGTTTCATTGCTGTGCACCCTGTCGGGACGAAGCCAAATTTAAAATTAGCTGGGATCAGAGAATGTGCGCATCGTCTCAGCGTTCTCCTTCAGAGCATGCTTGTGGGCGTGCAGCATGTCCGCATACTTGGTACCCAAACCTGAAGCCACGACACTCAAATGAGCTCGTTATGGCCTTGTGACGGAGGCGCCTGCATCTGCCGCCCTGAAGATTGTGCGGCAGTTTAGGGCGCTATAGCCCTGCCTCGGAATCCAGCGTGTGCAATTGGAAGTAATTGAGCCCTTCATATAAAGCCATGACCCCCCGAAATATCATAGAGTTATCTTCGTCTATGGGGAATGCAAATGGACGCCCCGCAGCGACACCCTGTGCCACAAGGCTTGAAACCCCTGTGGATATCGGGTCCTCACCTAGGTTCCACCAATCAAATAATTAATTATTTAGAGACATCTTACGTAAGACGAGATGCTGTTGGAAATAGTTTCGAGCTGTCCTCCTTCCGATGAGCTCTTGAATTATGCAGAGCCGTACAAACGCCAGGTGTCCTTGCCAACTAAGTGTCATGACATCCTTTTGAGGCTTGAAGTTAGGACCGCAAACTGCTTGTAGTGACCACCTAGGTTGGGAAGCGTGCAACACTGCAACAGCTGCGTGCCCTAGACCTTCTCCACTTCTGCTTTGAAAGCCGCAGCCTTGGAGAAGTTTTCCTTGAAAGAGCAAGATGTTCCTGGTAAATTGGTTTTACGGAGTTCTTAACTACTTGGGACTTTACAACAAGAACGCGAAGATCCTCTTCCTGGGTCTGGACAATGCTGGCAAGACGACGCTGATGCATATGCTCAAGGACGACCGCGTGGTGCAGCATCAACCCACACAGTATCCTACGTCCGAAGAGATTCAATTGGGCGGTATCAACTTTAAAGCGTTCGATCTTGGCGGTCATGAGATTGCCCGCCGTGTATGGAAGGATTACTATGCAAAGGTGGACGCTATCGTGTACCTTGTGGATTCAGCGGACCGTGAGCGGTTCCCTGAGGCAAAAAAGGAGCTCGACGGTCTTTTGGGCGATGACTCACTAGGCACGGTTCCCTTTCTCATCCTGGGCAACAAGATTGACATCCCAACCGCTGCTTCCGAGGATGAGCTCAGGAACTGGCTGGGCTTGACTTACACCACCGGCAAGGGCAAGGTGAACCTCAGCGACTCGAAGATTCGGCCGTGCGAGGTGTTTATGTGCTCAGTCGTCAAGCGCATGGGGTATGGTGAAGGCTTCCGGTGGCTCAGCCAGTATATTAAGTGAGTGCAGCAGGTATTGCAATGAGGGCGTTTGTGAGAGGTGTTGCGTCGGTATAACGCTCCCGGGGCTAGAAACAGGTTCTCGCGGCGTAGTGTGCTGTTGGTGAAGACGACGTGAGGGTGTTATACCTGTGGGTTGTGCTGCTCTCTGGCCCTGTGCGCTGCAATGCTAATGGCAGACTGTTGTAAACGTTCCCGAGCGGCGGGGGCACATAACTCGGCGTTACGGCTCGTTTCGCACATGGCGGACTGCTACGCAGTCAAACGTGTTCCATTGGCGGCATGTACGTGTTTAGCGGTTTGTTGGCAGTATGGGACTGGTGGCAGGGAATTTTTGTGTCGTTAAGCCTGTGTATATCGGCGTGACTGGCTGGACATGAACAAGCAGCGTGTGAACTTGCGTTGCAATGTCCTGGAGCTTGGTTTGTAACATGCGAGACAGATTTGTTTGGGAGAATTATATTCCTTCGTCAGCTTTTACAAGCTACGACCATTGGCTAACTCTTTGCATCAGTATCTGCCGAACTTGGGACATTATTGCCCACTTCCAAACAGCACCACTATTGTGGCAATGGAGACAACCGCAGCCAGTGTCGCTGTTGCCAAAGTGCGTTGGATGGACGTAGTTTGGTCTAAAACTACCGTAACCTCCGTCACCAAGTCCGGATCTGGGATCCACATGGAGCCGTCCGGCAGCTCCACTTCCCGCGTAACCTGGTATCGGGGTCCAGCTATGGAAGACAGTATGAAACCTGAAGACAGAGTGGAGGGAATGAAAACGAAAACAGCCTTTCAGTGCACTGCGACCGGGTGTAACAGCGAAGATCACTAGCAGCCTCGTGCACCATTACTATATACAAAGCACCTACGGTAGTGTACATGCCTGTAGCTTTTGAGATTAGGTCGTCAATCGAAACCGTGACGAAACGAGCATGACGCGACAGGCGCAATTTGGCAGTTGGCTGCAGAGTGCAGAGGCTACAGGTGAAGATAAAAGTAGTATTGCTGGTGTCTGCACTTTCTATCGTTCAGAATGCAAATCAGCGTTACCTGTTCCAAAGCCCGCGCCCAGTGAAGCCACCAATGCCGCCCCGCCTGGATCCAGCACATGTTGCAGCACCACCGCAGCAGCTCCCGCCAGCAGCACCCCGGTTCGCACCGCATCCAAACCAACCACTGCCGCCGCACCACCGCCTTCCCCAAGGTCACCCCTGCCGCCGCCGGCACCGCGCCCCGTGCTGCCACTGCTACTGCCGCTGGCTTGGCGCTCCACGTCTCCATTAATTAGCTGATGCGCCACCGTGCTGCCCGCCAGGCCCATAGCCGCCCCCAAGCCGCCGTACACCGCCCCGGGGTCCCCAACAACGACACCCGCCAGGGTGTCATGACTTCCGGGATGCATCATGGCTTCCAGCAGCCCGGCAGGCAGCCCGGAGCCGGCTGCCGCCGCCGCAGCGGTCTGCGTTGCGGCTACGACGGTGTCTCCACTGGCGGCCGTAAGCGCGAGCAACACGTCGGCGGCGGCCATGGCTGACAGCACGTACGCCGCCATAAAAGTGCGGTACCTGTTTCGTTCAGACACGACGGACAAGGCCAGGGAGCCGGAAAATGTTTGGAATGTTACCCGCAGGAGTGTCGTACATAGGGCCAAGCCAAATACGCAGGGCCAAATTACGCTGAGGGGACAAAATGTTTGTGGCAGGGTCCTTGAGCTTGCCGTACAGCAGCGGATCAGGAGACCTGACCCAGCCTGCCCAGGCCCGGCTTCCCCGCAAAGCACATGGATGATGACGCCATGCATCGACTGGATTGTCAACCTACCCAAGGGACGCCTCGACGCGCGGCGACACCACCAACATGCCGTACAATACGACAGCAAGACCCAGCAGATCTGCCTGGACAAAGCAGCCGCTCAGCAGCCGCCAGACCTCCGCCTGCACACGGTGTATGTGTGTATGTATGTATAAGTACGGGGTTGGAGAGCTCCAATGGGTTAGTTAGGTCGGAAGGAAGGACAGAGGGACCACTGCGGTATGGTCAACATCATCCCATCAAGGAACAGACATGGAGGCCCCGCCAGCTCCTCTTAAGTGCGGCAAGGCGCAGCTAACCCTGCTCTGGCTTTAAATACAATTCCAAAAAATTCTTTATTCGAAAGGAAAACGACGACGGTGACGGTTTGGCTCGACCATGATAAATAAATAAGGGCCACAAGCCCACAGGGCCTGGACACCCCTCTGTGTGCGATCACCTGCACCCATCTTCCCCCGGATAGGCTGGGGTGAGACTAGGCTATAAGGCTATAGGCGGGATGCTGTCCGGTCTGCGGCAGGGCCAGGACCCGAAACACGCATTGCGGTTCTCCACCCGGAAAGAAAGAACGATGGCGTGGAGGAGAACTTGGCGCGCCCGTACGAATAAAAAAAGCGACACGCACCTGGTCAACCACCGCCGAGCGACTGAGCTCCAGGCCTTCGCGGAGCTCCGAAGTTGCATCTGCACCCTGCGTGACGTACACCCGTACCAACGTGCCGTACACTGCCGCGTGGATTAGTGCGATGATGTAGGACGCGTACGGCACCACCTGGACGGCCGTACGTGGCGGTGGGAAGGGGCGGCAAAACGATGGGTGCGAGGGTTTGGAATGGCCTTGCTCGTATCCATAGTCCTTAAGGGGAACCTGCTACCTGTTTTGAAAGAGCCGTGGTTACTTCCGCATCAACAAATTTCATCTCTGCGTGAAGACCTGTCACAGAGTGAAGACCCGGCGCATACCTCGCTGCTTCACGCAGGCCAGGTTTACACTCTTCACGGTTTCGATCGTCCTGATGGCGCGACTCTAGTTCTTCAATTAACATGCCCCTAGTTCGCCCCCTTCCACTGCCTTGCTGCCACACGCAGACCACCTCCAGATCCAGATCCCCCTGCAACAGCAACAGCAACCCCCAGGGAGCCCTCCACACCCTCTGCCGCTGTGCCAACCCATTCCCGGAAGCCCACCTTGGGCAGCTCCAAGGCCTGTCCAGGGAGGGTCCTGGGGGCAGGAGGAAGAGGAGACGAAGGGTTGTGTCAGGAGGGGAAGGTTACCGCGAGAGTGCGGGGGAGGGGGGGAGACGATGGTGGCGTGCGGGGGTTGGGGTGGGGCGGGGGAAAAAACAAGCAGGGACCCCACCCTCATTCACCCTTAGTGCTGGACCTGGACCTCTCTGTGCTCGCATAAACCTATCGAAAGGTTGTGTAAGGCATCAACCACGTCCCCGTACATCTCCCGCTCTGTCTCCAGTCCAGGATTTGCAGCTCCAGGGTTGTGGGAGCAACCCACATCTTGTTTCGGTCGCAGCAGGGCACCACGGTGTTAGCCCTCACTCACTTGCGGCCCGCCCGGACCTCGTTCCGCAGCATTTCCTCATTGGCGATGAAGCGGCCGGAGGGATTGACGGAGGAGGAGATGGATGTAGTGCGGGGGGGAGCAGCTTGACGCGGCCGTATGCGCCACCATTCCACAAGAGCAGGGTCGCGGCCGACCGATGATGGACCACCTGGGCAGTGGCCAGATTTGCCAAGTGGCTTTTACAGCATGTAATTTGTCCCAGCTGGTTTAGAAATACTGCCAGCTGTTTTCGACTGGGATAGCTTCCAGCTGTATCAGAATGCCAGGGCTCAGCATAGCGGTGACAGCAGGTGAACTCACCTGAATCGTTTTCCGATCCAAGTAGAGAGTCCAACGTGGATAGAGCTTTATCTGATCGATCACCATCCTCAGCGGCCTTTATGTGGCCTACAAGCTTACGACCAAGGTGAAACGCTGTTCGGCCTTTCGTGCATCTTGTGGGTCTCAGGCTGAGACCCTCCGGACAACGGTATAAATGCGACATATTTGCGCAGCTCCCAGCTTGCTGCTACCAGGTTTGGAGCTCTGTGCAGCTGAAAGTAACGGTTTAAGATTCGCCGTACGTTACCGGAATTTAGCTTGTAGGTTGAAACTCTGGGGCATACTGGACGTCCAGAGGCGAATTTCCGAACATCTTTAGGGTCCACCAAGTGCGACACAGGCAGAGTTGTAAACACCTTCCATTGTTTTTGAGCGTGATTTAGTTTCGTTCATGCCGCGCTGACTTCATATAACAGTACGTGTGAGGCCTCCACAAGAAGCATCGCCGTGCTTAGGAACCTCCTGCTTCGAAAGTGGAGACCGGGAAACTTGGCGGCACCACCACCAACAGATGGCGGCAACAGCAAGCAGAAAATATTCCCGTCCCAAAAACGCGCGTACAGGGCATCCAAGGAATTAAAAGACATATAAGTACCGTATCAAAGAGGAGAAGAGCAAGGAGAGAAAGTGGAGACGTCTAAGGGCCCCACATGCAACAACGCAATACCACGAAACACAAGGACAAACACGGCGCGCATTGCTATATCGCAACGAATCGACGCCGCCCGAGCACCACCACGCGGCAATGGGCTCCGGAGCTACAGGTCGGCACTGCACCCGCCCTCCAGCAGCCCTCCAGCGGTGGGACCTCAGCTACAGCGCTGTGCCCTGATGGGCCGTTGGCAATCAAGAGCAAACAAGCAGCAGCACACACATCCAGCTTCCCCACAGCATACACTGCATTAGGGGAGTAGCTTCGGCGGTCTTGTTCGTTGGGGCAGCTGGGCAACAGCCCCTGGCCAGCCCCGTCAGTCCCGGCAAGATATGTAATATACACACACACACACACACACACACATCGACGACCCTCCTTTACTAGGAGTCCGGAGCCTCGCTAAGGCGCCATTCTGTGGCTACAAGACCACTCAAATACACCCGGTAAGGCATATGCACACGAACACACCGAGCCATAAGAGAATACACCGTGATCTGACTACAATACAACATGTATTGGGAGTTATTACAGTACGCATATGAAGAAGAAGTTACGAATGAAGAAGTCGTCCACAGCCGCGCAGCACACAAGATTTTGATGGTGTAGCGGATAAAAAGGAGAAGAAGAAGAGGAAGAAGAAGAAGTTGCCGTCCATGAAGGTTCCTGAGGGCCTCTAGAGCAGCTGCAAACCTCCAAAGACTGGGAAACCCAACCATCGATATGTCTGTCGTACATAGTGATGTCATACACGACGCAACCACAACAATAGTCCGCAACCATGGGCTGCACCTGCGCCCGTTGCATCTATAATAATATGATGTAATTGTGTTCTCTATCCTCTCGCTCTCACCCCCTAGTGGGCCCCAGGTTCTGGAAATCGCGGCGTTCCATCTACACCGCTAAGCTTTCTATCTGTATGTATGTATGCAACCCTCTCCCCACCCCCTAGACACAAAACACACACGCTAGGTACCCGTACCCACATAGCTATGGATACGCACAAGGAAGCCTCTGCAACTGCATTACCCTTTCCCTCTCCTCCCCCTTTCATAACAGTGCGCTTCTCCCCCCCTCACTCCTCGCAAGACGCTCTCTAAGCTACAAGCCTCTTGCAAACCGAATACCTTCATAACGACGATATTACACTTACAATATTAGCAATGACGGTGGCTTCTCGCCTGCTTCCTCCGGGTACTGGGAAGCACACACGCACACGTAAAATACGTGTGGTCCGCTTAGTACGACACTAGTACGACAATCATTTTTTTATATAATCAGGCAGGGCCGAATGCAAATATCTCTCTCGCGAGCCTCCAGCGCCCTCAAGCCCTCGAATCCCCTTTCAGCCATGAAGATCGCGATGATCCGTGATGGCGATATCAGTTGTTATTATGGCCCGTAGGTGGCCTCGATAGGCCGGTGATATCTCTCGCACTGGGCTGAGCAGCGCGTGACAGCAGGTGGAGCGGAGGGGCAACGCCGGGGCAAAACACTGTACGGCGCTGCAAAACACGCCGCGCCGCACCGCACCGTACACTGCATCATATGCTGTAATTACTGTGCTGCATTGCTCCGTGCTGCGTTGGACTGGGGTGAACTGTACGCGCGACTGTACTGCATTGTACTGCATTGTACAGTACGGCAATAACTGATCAAGCTGGAAAAAGCAACAGGTACTCGAACATGGCGTGCATCTCTCCAGAGCTGTAACACGGTGCAAGGGCATCACGGGAGAAGAGGGGCCCCTTTCAGTTGAAGTATGTTTGTCAATACGACTGCCGTTTCCCTTGTGGGGTGAAAAATAATGTACGGGCGGTACGGCCGTCAAGGTCGTGAAATGCGTAAAGGTGAATAGGGAAATCGGAAAACTGTTGCGCGACCTGAACGACCTTCGCTCCAACCGTTCTTCGCGCTTCGGGGCGAGCAAGCACGCAATCGGCGGCGCCTCTTCCCCAATCGCGCATCGTGCGCAAAATCCTTTCCTCTCTTCACTCACTCACTCACCCACTCACTCACTCACTCACTCCGGGTTTTTTATTTGGGTGTTGGTGCATTCAGTATGAAAGTTAGTGCCATTAAACAGGACGTGCCTCCTAGTCTGGCCCGTTTCTTTTCTAGATTTTATCGTCTAATCTAAATGCGGCACCAGACGAGGCGAAATAGAACTCCAACTAGGTTTCGCCTTCTGCCCTGGTGTGCTGTCTGCCATTGTGGTGGCTGGCACCTCGCTGCTGCTCAGGAAAAGCGTCGTGTGAGACCCCCGAAGGGAGCCCACCCCAGGGCCCCCAGAGGTCGCAAGGGGGGTAGCTCACCCCCCGGGGCTAGCCGCAGGCAGTGCGCCCCACGCCGCTCCGGGTTGCAAACCCGGATGCACAAAGCCGCGAGATTCCAGCATCTGCCGCGCCGTGCGCACGTCCGTTGGTACCGCGGTGGAGTCCGTGACGATTGACCCGTGGGTCGCGAAAGGCGCACGTGGCGGTAGATGGGAGCCATGCAGGCCTGCGACGTCTGGTGGCCGCTGGAATTGCCTGGGTGAGGTGTCGTGAGGTGTCGTGGGTTGTGAAGAAGCGAATTGGAAATCAGACAACTTGCAATAATATTACCAGCTGCAGGAAAAGAGCAGGAAAAGAGAAACACAAAACCTATCCAGAGCTGGTCAGGAAAGGGTTACAGACACGCAGATAGAGGGAAGCAGACAGACAGACAGACAGACAGACAGACAGGGCCCAAGGCCTGTCGCAAACTGCCAGGTGGGGTCGGGTGGCCCCAAGCCAACCACGGGCCATCCACCAGGTGGCCATCCTCGGCAATCAAACACGCACACACCAAGGCCCCCAAGCAAGGCCACCACCCAACTACGTGGCCTCGTCAGGGCGCGCACTCAATATACCCCGGTGCCCCCTTCGCCCTCAACCCGGAAGGGGCTCCCATCCAGAGGTCTTCCGCGAGTTCCTGTCCTCGGCTACGTGATGCGCCTTACGGGCTCACCAAAATCAGCCCTTGCAGCCCTTTCGGGGTCTTTTCGCCACCGCCTGGTCTCCACCGCCCAATGTAGGCACGTGTAGGACTCGGGAGCCAACAGGGACTCGGGAGCCAACAGCCAACTCTCACCCTTTTGTCACCGGACTCAACCCCCACACAGGACTCACCCTTGTGCGCCCGCCGCTGCCGCCAGACATGCCGCCGTGAATGGCAGCAGGGTCACGCGCAGGGCCGGAAATAGCCTACTGCGCAGCGCGGACCAATGGGAGGCCTCGCGGCGGCTGGCGGCGCCACCGCAGCCTGCTCCAAATGGGGAGGAACTGAGCGAGTGGGAGTCGCGCGGAGTGCGCAGCATAGGCAGGCGAACCCCCGGCGGCGTTCTGGCGTGAGGGGAAGCCGTGACGTAGCGTCGTGAAATGCGCGCCGGGAAGGGGCAGGCGGGGCGGGAGGGGGGGGGTTTGATTAAAGAGCTGAGTCCAGCGGTGCTGTGTATTGGACGGAGGGATGCAGGTCAGGTATGCAAAAGCTGTATTCGTTTCCATTTATTGCTGATGAGAGGTTATAGTGCACGCACCTTGCCACGGGAACCTCATGCCGGACGGCATTTATGTTCGCCTGCCGTTTTACCTATCGGGAAGGGGAGAGGACGTGTGAGTAGGGCATAGCTCACGCGTGAGCCGGCAGGAGACCCAGAGACTTACTGCTGCAGCCGACATGGACATGGTCTTTCGCTCTCTCGCACAGCGTGCTGTGCTTGCGACAGCTGTGTGGGTGCCACTCTGCATCGCCACTGCAGCTGCACGCCATAGCAACAAGACCGCCGGTATGTGATGGTGTAATTGTCGTTCAAACATTCTCTACTGGGAAATTCCGTTTAAAATTATAACCGAGTAGGCTCTATTGGAATGGCACGACCTTGATTGTTGAAGGGTTTGGAGCTCAACACAAACGATGTCCTAAACAATAAATAGATAGTTGGATTTTACTAACATAACTGAGACTTGCAGTGGGTTTGCAGGTAAGCACCAAACACAGTGAAACGACAAACGTAAAACCGTATCTTTGAATGATGGATTGGAAAGGGCAAAGTCAATAACATTAGGAGGAGAACAAAGGTCTCACCTAAGAGGTAGCATTCGGCAAATCTGGTTGACTCAGACAGTTGTCGTAGTACCGAAGGTCGCAGGCTCAGACCCCCAAACCTGGTAACCAAAGTAAGGTTCCAGTGTAAACACCTTAATCGTTCTAGATTTCCTACTGACAATTCCGTAGGTGAACCTGTACATGGACCGAAAGCCACAAGCTCCATGTCCGTATGCCGCTTCGGCGTACTCCGAGACCCGCGGGTCATGTCCGGTCAAAGCACAGCGGCGGGGAAAAGTATATATGCCGTACTTTACGATACCTGCTGCAAACAAGCTCCACTGCAATCACTATTATCACACTCCTCAGCCTCGGCAGGGTGACGTCGCCGGGACCCGACAGCCAGCGCCCGCCCAGCCAGTGTGAGCCTTAGGGAAGAGTTCGCATCGTACCCTCCAGAATCATCTGACATTACGCGCTGTCTGTGCTGCAAAATGGTTGTTTTGGAAATCTGGTTGTCCTGAATTGCAGCTGCTTTGCAGTTTCCCAAGGGAGTCGATCTGACGACTTTCGGCCTCACCATGTACAAGTCTCGGTACCAAGTTGCATAGTAACAGAGGGCATTTAGCCCAGTGATGTCGGTGCGCCTTGGCCTGACACTAGCTGGACACTCAGTGGAGCTATAGGGCCCCCGCAGTGTTGTGCTGCTGATGCACTCGACCCGTTCGGGGTCTGCTGTAACAAATCGCATTCAAGTACAGCCGGGAGCCGGATTTCAGACACCCACTAAGAGCCTTTCAAACCTGCGTTATCCCAACAACAGCGATGCATGGAACCCTCCTTGGAGGCATCACTTGACGAGACGATCTCCCTTCCCTAAGAGCTACGGTTGGATCCACACTGCATTATCGATTACCATCGTCAGAAACCCCGCGAAAACCCGCTAGAACAGCATATACAAGGCGTATGGAAGGCCGCGAACAGCATTATCACCGTCATCATCGTCATCACCATCATCATTATCATCATCACCGTCATCATCATCATCATCATCAACACGGAGGCGGCTGTTCGCAAGTCTAACCCGCCCTAACATACAACATATTCGCGAATACGTGCTGCAGGCTGCTGGTGGCAACAACGCCAGCCTCATACGGCGTGGCCATGCGTGTTACATGTATGTATGTATGCGTGCATACCTAGCCAACATGGCCACGGAGAATCCCACCAACCCGCACTGACTACGTGCCCTGAGGAAGGTGAAGTTCAACGGCCGCAGGAGCCCGGAGGCTGTACGTGGTGGACCCGCCAAGCTGGTTATGCGTCATACCTACCTACCTACCTACATACATACATACATACATACATGCAGACATATCCTTTCGGGCGATTTTAATAAATAGAGGTGTCCACTCGTCACTACGCGTGCTGTCGCAATGCGGTCCCACAAGTGGGTACTACCTTAGGGTTCATAGGGCCCATCTGGGGTCGCTCACCCCAGTCGCTCGTGCAGTCCCCACCCACATCCAGGGCGAGGCCCCAGCAGCAGCGAGGTCCCCACTTCCCCTTCCGCTGCAACAACATGCGGCAGTCATACATACAGAGTTTCCACCGCAGGCCTCCGCTCGTCGCTGCCAGGCTGTCTTCACACACACACACACACGGCTTCGCTTCCATCTAAATCAACCAGTATCAACTCAGAACACACCGCCAGTATCAGGTATCATAACCCGTTCATCTCCGCGCGCCAAAACTGCCCGAGGAGAAATGGATCGGATCGCAATCGGAGCGGAGCGCAAACACCAACGCCAACACGCGAGCGAGCGCACGACAGTGCGCCACATGTCCTTATTGCTCTCCATTCCTCCTCGTCCTTCCCTCCAGTTCAAATCCTTAGAAGCTCACAGCGCCGTCCTCCCACGTATTCGTCGCAACGTGTTCGCGTATGCGGGGTGGTTTTCCGGTTGGGGTTACACGGTTGGGGTATTCTACCTACCTGCATGTTGCCCTGGATGCCTCAACCATCAGAATGCACCCCCGTCCATGCCGCAGTCAACAGCGTTTTCACACGTACACACAAGCACGCACACTCGACAATGAATAATCCTCCCCCGCTCCGCTCCGCTCCACTCCACTCCACTCCACCCCAAACCCCCCGCGCGTCGCTCGCTTATCAGGAGGCATTACAATGGTAGCCCGCAACCCATCCACACTCGAGCCAGCCAGAGCATTCTTTCTGTGGAAATAAACACGCTTCATGAACTGTGATTTCCTCCTGAACCAAACCCCCCAGCCAACGAAATAACCAACCATTGGTTGTCAGTTAAACGGTTCCTAGGGTTCCCAAGCCATACGAAGCAGCTGCGGATAGTACTCCCGTACCTCCTCTTTAAGAAAGACGCGTGCGGGTTTTATGTACCGCCATTTCCCCTCTGAGACCCACCCGTCCGGCCCAAACGTGAGGTTGCGAAACTCAACGGGCTTGTACGACAGCGTGTTGCCGTACTCCTCGAGCAGTTTGAGCCAGAAGCAGGCTCGGGCCTCTGAGGAGAGGTATTTCGCCGTCAGCGCCTGGCCGGCTGCTGCGATGCGTTGGGCTTCGGCGTCGTGGGTTCGAGCCCAGGCGAGAGCATCCAGAATGGTTTCGGGGCCGGTGCCCGCCCGCCAAACTGGAACAAAATGCTCAAATGGCTTCAGCAGGTGGTGGTAGAAGGCCTGCGAGTCGTGGCGTGGCGCGGCGTGGGGATATCACAGCGGGGTATCTTAGCCGTAGAGGCAGAGAAACCACACGGGGTAATGTCACTCTGTCTGTCTGTCTGTCTGTCTGTCTGTCTGTCTGTCAGTGGCTCATTCAATCCGAACGGGGTTGCAGCCGAGATGAGACGGAATTCCGCACACAGATGGACATACAGATGGACATCACGCAAATATCTAGATACATGGATACATAGATATCAGATGTGTAGACAGACCACGGACAAACATAAGAGTATACAAACATACATACATACATACATACGCACTCACCATGTACCCCGACTCCTCCTTCATAACCAAGGAGCCCAGGGTGAGCAACGTCTCCAGCTTGGAGGACAAACCCTGGGGGTCGGGGTGAGAGGTGGGGGGGGGTGGGTGGAGGTGGTGTGTGTGTATGTGTGTATGTGTGTATGTATGTGTATGTGTTGTGTGTATGTGTGTATGTGTGTGTATGTGTGTGTATGTGTGTGTATGTGTGTGTATAGCGAAGGTGCGGGAAACCACACGCAGAAAAGGACGGCTGCATATGCCCTGTCCTGCCCTCTCATACACTAGCCAATCCAACCAACCCTACCCTGCTCATACACACCGCCCCCTTCACAAACCCTTAACCCCCCTCCCCCTCCCCCTCCCCCTCCCCCTCCCCCTCCCCCTCCCCCTCCCCCTCCCCCCCCACCTGCCCGTCCACATGTAGCAAGTAGCGGTACTCCATGTGGTCCTTCATCGGCAAGTGCTGGTCCTTACTGATGTCCAAATCGTCACTGTACGACAGGGATACGCCGTACACTTCTTTCAGTGAGCGAAGGGGAGACCTCTAGTTGAAAAAGAGAACGGTGGGGAAGCGGGAGACTGTGTGTTTTCGTGTTAGCACAAAAGACGCGCCAGGATGGATCAAGGTGCCCCAGAAGAGCAAAGCGACAAACATGGCGCATCTCTTCAGCGAGAGAATTCTGTGATACACATCGGCACACACACCAGGCTCGTCATCGCGTCACATCATTGCACCCTCCCATCTCCCATCTCCGCAATGTCACACAACATCACATATATACATACATATACACACAGAGACATTGCACATGTCACATAACACGAGTACAGAACCGCATTCCTGCAAATCCTTGGCGACAAGTAACAAAACCCTGCCCCCGCCCCCCCCCAAACTCCAACTCCTACCACATCACTTCGATCTCCTTTCCGGCATTTTGACCTCAGGACGCGGTGCATTCGGCACTCTACTTGTTCTCTCTTTGCTTCAAGTGCATATTTTCCTCCCCGCCTCCGTCCCCCCTCCCCACCTCCCCGCCCCCCTCAACACATAGACACACATGCACACACGCACGCAAAACCTGCCCCCCCCAATAAACCCCCAACCAAACCACCATAACCACCCTCCAACCACCATTACCCGTACTCACGTGTAGTTGGCCGCCCAGTTGTGGAGGTGCTCCCGAACCGGGCAGATGGAGGTGGTGGTTCCCTTCACCTCGCACAGCTGCCGCCCACCCGCACCCAGGCGCTGTGCGGAGGGGTCCCCCGGGTGCACGTAGCGCACGTAGCCGGAGAACCTGGCGAACACGATGGGGCGGCGCTGCGCCCAAGGTACCTCCGCGTTGAAGTGGGGGATGCGGTCCAGGAACTCCCGCTGGTAGGGCTTCATGTAGAAGTGGAAGTTGGGGACTGCGGGGGGGTTAGGGGTGGGGTGTGGGGGGGGCGGGTGGGGGAAAGACAAACCACACACGAGTGAAGCTGCTGCCAGTGGGTGTGGGG